TTTGCCTTGTATAAAGCTAACATAAATTCAATCCCTGCCTCCGCATTTGGTCCCTTGAGACTACCAGAAGCAAAACTAGGAGTTAAACCCTGAGCACAAAATTGGGTGTAACACACACACACACACACACACACACACACACACACACACACAAAAGAACATAATTCAGGGGGAAGAAATTGTCCCGCTGAACTAATTTTATCTTTTCTAGTGATGTATATTTCTATTCATTCTTTGCATAACTATGAGGTGACATGTAAAACATATCATTTAGCTTTACTGGTTCCATAGCTTCAAATATCAACCAAAGCTTTTAACATTAGTTCTCAGGCAGCAACAAAATCTGGAGTAAAGACAAAGTTATGACAATAGAGGGTATTAGAATTACTGGCACATCACTGAACAGTATCTGGCCGAGCCAGGTTCGATTCCTCTGCTCGTCTCGGAGAGCCGGCAAGCTACTGGCAGTATCTACCTGCAAGGCAAAGCCTGGCAAGGTACCTGTGATGCATTCGATATGCCAAACACAGTAACAACAAGTCTCACAATGGAGACATTACTGGGCCTGCTCGAGCAAATTGATGAACAATAGGAGGACAGTGACAGTGACAGTGACAGTGATTTTAAACTTAAGAGCATTGCTCTGGAAAATTTTCTTGAAGAGGGTAGCCTTAGGCAGTGCTCAGGGATATTTTCTGAGTGGTGCTCTGGGGGATTCATCTCAGAAGGACTTAGGGTACCATGCAGTGCCAGTGATCAAACCCAGGTCTCCCACATGCAAAGCAATCTCCTTGGTCCCATGGTGTGGATCTTTTAAACGTTGAGACTTTGAGCCTTCTGTTGAAATCTAAATACATTAGAATCTATACAAATTGTTTGTTGTTAGTTTTCTTTCTTTTTTAATGGTGTAATTTTACTCATTTTATTTAATTAGCTTGTACATGACCTATTTTCTGCAAGCATTGACTATTTGATAACTTTACCTGAACTATTTTAACATTTATAAATATAAAAAATATTATAATAATATATAAATAAATAGAAATAATGCTTCATAGAGATAGATATTTAGGATACCTAAATCTGTAATAGAATTAGAGTATAGTATAGTAATCTTGATTATTTAAAAGAAAGATCTTCCTGATTCCCCACTGCCATCGCCATGCAAGATTATCTACCAGCCTTGTTGTTAGACTGCCCAGTTAAGTATTCTCTATTTTCTGGAGCATGTGGCCACATTCTCAACCACACTGCATCTACAGACTACAACACAGGCCAAAGAGATAGTACAGAATGTAAGGTGCTTTCCTTACACACAGCTGATCTACCTGGGTTCGATCTCTAGCATTCCATATGGTCCTTTGAGCACAGCCAGGAGTAATTCCTGAGTGCAGAGACAGTCAAATGTGGCCCCCAAACAATAACAACAACTTTCCCCAAACCTCAAAACTCTACATACATCTCAGTAGTCACATGCCAGTTTGAATTGGAATATAAAATAGAAGCCAACAAATCCTGGCTAACAAAACTTATATACAGAAGTTTACTTTACAACGCAGCGCCTTAGGCCTTCAGTCAAGGACTTAAAGTCCCCATAGTGAGATATAATAATTTACACAAATTTTCTTAGACAGCAATACTTTTTTTTATCACTCTGTTCACCATTTATTGGTAAGAAACAAACAAACAAATACAAACACTGTCCTCCAGTTGTTCATCGATTTGCTCGAGGGGCCTAGTAACATCTCTGTTTTTGAGACTTGTTGTTACTGTGTTTGGCATATTGAATACATCCTGGGTAGCTTTCCAGGTTTTGCTGTGAGGGAGAGATACTCTCTATAGCTTGCAGACCTCTCTGAGAGGGGCAGAGGAATCGAACCTGGCTCAGCTGGGCTGGCTGAGTGCAAGGCAAACACCCTACCCCCTAAGCTATTGGTAACAAGCAATATAAAATAAATTATTCTGGGCTTGCTCAGGGGTAGGCTTGAGTAATGATTAGGAAAATCTAGACAATGGTGGAAGGAAGGTGACAATGATGTTGTTGGAATGTTGATTGCCAATAACAAATCTGCATGAATAACTTTGTAAAACATGGTTTTTAAAAAGTGGGGAAAAAAATCTTCCTGAAAAGAAATTTCTATAGAAAATAAAAGATGTGCAAGCTGTCTCAAAAAAGGATGATTTATTGAATCAAAATATGTTAAATGTGCATTTATTCTTATTAGAGGTATCATCAGATTAAATTTTTTATCTGAAAGGAATAAAATTGGAAGCAAAGACTAAGGCAGCGATGCAGAGTCACCATTTCAGAAATGATGAACTTAATGTCATGCAAATTTAGTACATTTTCAGAATAGTGACAAGTAACTTTATAAATACCTGTTGATAATGGCATTGTCACTATTAGAATTTTTTTTGAAAAGTAAATGATGTAAATGTGAAGACAATATGTATAAAATGATAAGATTTAACATCCTGTTTCTAAAGAGTTGACTTTAAAATACACTGAGTGTTGGGGCTAGAATGATAATACAGTGGATAAGGTGCTTGTCTTGTATGCAGTTGGCCAGAATTCGATCCCTGGCACTCCGTATGGTCCCTAAAGCCCTGCCAGGTATGACTCCTGAGTGCGGAGCCAGGAATAACCCCTAAGCATTACTGGAAGTGGCCCCCAAACAAAAAACTAATAGACAAAATACTATGTTCTTAGTATTTATGACTGAGATAGACCAATTTAACAATATGAATAATCAAGTTTTTGTGAATTCCTGTAGAATATAAAGTATGTTTTGAACAGGATTTTGAAATGGATAATCTAGAAGTTCATGTGTTCTTTCAACAGTTTGGCTTTCCCAAACTCTTCTATCAACTGCAGTTATTTGATGGGATAAATTTACTTTGAACTAGCCTCTGAGAATTTGCTCTTCAAACATGAAATGACTGAGCTTATTACTGAGCAATCTACTTTTTCCACTACTTCACTCTGAGTTTTTGAAGGGCAGTCTGTGAAGACCACAGACACTGTTTATTCTTACTCATAATTTTAAGGTTCAAAGTTTTCCATTTACTACCCAGCTACAGAAGACCTATTTTAGGATCATAACCTCGCCTCCTAACTAAAGGATGACAAGTGCCTGGCTGATTGAAGATACATACCCCTTTTTCTCATGTCTTTCCATTTTGGCCTTATTCACTAGGAAATAAAAAGTGATATTTGTTTAGCAATGGCTGTCTAATATATTAATACAAGTCAAAGTAGGGAATTGGTCCTTTTTATTTGGATAACTTCTGGTAAAATGTATCCATAAAATATGAAATATCTTAGAACATAATAAATGTTCTTTTAATAAATAATTCTCATAATAAATGAAGTTTGAAATTATCAGATATCAGAAATTGGTCAAGAATGCACACTCATGTATATTTGAGTTTGTAAATCAATAAAATTTAAATAATAATATTTAAAATTTACAAACATTATGAAAATGAACATTACTTTGGGGTTTTATACTCAATGCAATGTCATTTTTCCTATGATCTTATTTTATGTTTTAAACAACCTTTATTGATTGATAAGTAAAATAAATATATTTGTGTGATAAAAGCCTAAGAGAATTCCTTATTCACATAGATTAACTAAAAGCTGCTGATTTAAAGAAATAGTATAAGCATGCCTCTAAAAATATTAAACTTAACTAAATTCAAAATCCTTTTTAAAAGTTGAGGAGACATTACAAAATAGATGTACTATAATGATAAGAGTGGCACCTGCAAAATGAATTATCTTAGAAGATCTAACCAGCGTGAATCAGAACCATAACATAGCAATTGTAGCTAAAATAAAAATCAAGATCACTGTATATTGAGCTTTCACAGGAGCTAGTTATGAGGATACTAAGTGCTAGCACTTTGTATTTTATGTATTTTTGTTTCCATTTTTATTAGTAAACTAGGTCACTAGATGCTCAGTGACTCTAAAGGTCAGTTACACCATTGTAAGTTTCACTGTCAGAATGAATTTGGTATGCTCTGGTCTGTTGATGGAAACTAAATTACCTTATGTGAATTATTTAAATCACTTAGAGAGCTAAAATGAACTTCACTGATCATAGAATGTTTCTGGAAATTAACACCCACAATGTTTTTTGTAAACCAACACTTTCATTTGTTGGACTCATTTATCTAAAGTAAGTACATTTGTGATTTCTTTTATATTGTTTTATATTTTGACTAAATTTACTGTTATGTAACATTTTACAAACTAGTATTCTTTACTCTTTTCCTTAATACTCTCAGCATTATAAATAAAAGAACACTTGGCAATCCCTTTTATATAGCCCATTCATTTTAAACAATTATTATTTACTATAGTTGATAACCACCCATAATAATATTGATAAATAGCAGGTTTAGATTGAGAATTCTTGAGACAGTGTTACCTGATGTTGTATATTTTCTTCTGCAACTTAATATCTTTTCTCCAGTTCTCTGTACTCTTACAGATGTAGAAGTTGTTGCCTACTCTTTTAATAAATTATTAATAAATTATTTTTATGATTCTAAATATGTAAATAATTAAAACGTAGTGTACATAATAAAATAAATTGAAATGTATGCCATTTTCCTATTTCAGCATCAAGCCATTCAACAATTACTTTCCTATCATATTTTAAAGATTACAAACTGCCTTTAGTGATTATTACACTTCAAGATACTGATCATCATCAGTGACTTTTTTAATGACGATTTTATTTTTAAAACAATTATTTTTTTGCTATTAAAGCATTACTGCGTGATCTGACTTTAAATAAATAAGCTTACTACTGTCAGAATCTTAATTCCTTACAGATTTTAAATCTGTATTGCTCCAGTAATAAAATATTATCAGTTGTAGAATATTTTACTAAAGAAAGTTTTATTTATTTATTTATTTATTTGCTATGAGACCGTTATTTAAGGACCCAAGAATTTACAGTAACCGTAGATTCTTCAACTGCGGAATGAACTCTACTATGCACCCTCACCCCGCCCAGTTTCTGTTCCACCTCCTTGCCATTAAGTACTATTTTTCTTCAAATCTATTTATCTTAGAGCGCAGTGCCTGGCATTACTTAGCTGCAGAGATGAGTAATGAAAAAGCAACATATGCAGAGATAAAGTCAAAAAGGCAACAAATAAAACTTAAAGGCACTAAAGGCTTCACTTCAGAAACAGAGCAAGAAATATGCTATGCAAAATTAAATCTTCAAAATGCTACTCAGTCTCTGCAGGGAAATGACAAGGACTACTGCTGCAAAGGTAAACTGTTAAATAGACAGAAGATGCCACAGTTCTAGAGTGGACAGTTGGGTTGCAGAGTGGTGGGAAAGAGAAGGGAGGAAACTCAATATTTTGCATTTCTTCGAATCAGAGACCTAATTTGGAATATGATATTCTTATATGAGTTCTGAACTAATTTTGCTTAGGCATTGTTGAACAAATCATAGAGCTTATACTTGCTAAAAATGCAATGTAGAGTTCTGGGAGAGAGATTGCAATGGACCTAGAGTCCAAAATGGTAATAGAATCACACTTCTAAATACTTCTTTACATCTTTCCTTTCTTTTTAATTTGTTTTCATTTCACTCCCCATAGGACTATTGTCACCTCCAGAGAAGCTCATTGCTGGGGTCCTGGGAATCATTTGCTTTGTCTTGATGTGCCTTGTGTTACAAATGCTTATTACTTATTGTAAGTAAATTTTTGAAAGCTTAACAAGGAAATTTTACTGATGATCTCACTTTCCTTAAAGATTTTATAATATTAAAAAACAGATCTCGCCTTTAAATACAAGTTTATATAGTCTAGTGTGGATTGCTTAATTTGAATTTATAATAAAAATATGATTTAGGATATTAAAATACCTTATTGGGAAATGTAATTTTTTTTGAACTTTGTTAAACAAAATACAAAGGGAGATGTAACTTCACTTCTTTGAACTTTTAAAATATTTTCCATTGTATGTATCACAACCTGACAGTGCACAGTATGGAATATACAAACATGTTTTTACCTATACACATGTGGCAGATCCATTTGATATTCGTAATTCAACTTTTCTATTAATAGCTCAAGATAACTCTCTGGTGTCTCATTGTGCCCATTGTCCTCCTGAGGGATTTACATATTCCAACAATTGCTATTATACAACGGATGAAAAAATGTCATGGAATGAGAGTGTGATGGCCTGTGCTTCTCACCAGTCTAACCTTCTTTATATAGAAAGTGAAGAAGAAATGGTAAGAGTTTAATGTTTCGACCACTTTACAAAAGACATTTCAGTTAATACTTACTCATTTTTGCATATTTTATTGTATATTTTATACACTCCACAGACTGACTTTTAGTATTTCAGTCGTGCAGTTTTTTTTATGTCATAACGCACATTTATTATTCTTATTTTTTAGAAAGACATGTTTTTCACAAATGCTTTTAATTTTTTTATTCCATTAAAGCTAATTAATGATTATAACATTTCTCATATTACAGCTATTTATAGTCATTCAAGTGGATTTAATTAGTTTTACATGAATTATGTATTATTGTGTACTTTTAAGTGCAATAATAATTAGCACGTTTTTCAGTCTGCCAGTGACATAAGAAACATCCATGTTTCAAAGAAGACAGTTCTGTCAGTCACTCTCTTGTCATCAAAAAGTCAAGCAAGAATCTTGGATAGTGAAAGCAAATTATGAATAGCATGTTCAAAATGATATATTTATAAATATTTTACAAACTTTATGAAAATAGATTTTATAAAGTAAATAAAAATTTAAAAAACACCAAGTTGGTAGAACTTAGAATTCTTTTTCCACCTAATTTCAGATTTTCTTCCTACCCCACCTTCTCAGACAACCATAGTTCTCTCATCACTACGTACTACTTTGTCTTTTCACTGTGCTTTCTCTGTGCATTAATTTTTTCCTAATTTGGACATATGGAAAATCTTCTAATTGCCTTTTTTCCTTCAGACATTTTATATAGAATAATTCCATGGAACTCATTTCATTTTGTTTGTAAATATTAAAGTTCCATTTTTTTAAAAACAGTTATGTTGCATATGATTAGATAAGTGTACGTCATCTACTTTATCTGGTCCTATTTGCGGTACACTTCAGTTGCTCATTTTCAGTTATTTTAAATAATATACACCAATAAACTTGGGCGAATATTACCTTTGTGTTAATGTTTTATGTTCTTTATGCTGATATACAAATGTGAGATTACTAGATAATTCAGTATGAGTCTCTTTAGATCTTGGGGGTAATATTAGTTCTTGGGAGGTAATATTAGTTCTTGGGAGGAGCCTTCAGAATTCCCGAGCATTATCTTGGGATTCCTGTATAAAAAAATAAACAATATAATAAAACACTGTGACAATGTTGATTTCTACAACTTTATATTTGACATATAATTGACATTATATAGGATGTTATAATACGACTTATTCCAAAAGTTTATGCATATTTGGAACATTTAGAATACAGTATTATCATACCACACCTATCATCACCAGGACAATGTATGTCCAGTACAATCTGCTAGACCATTTTCAACAGCTCCTTCCCATGTGGTGATATAAATTTACATTATTCTTCTTTAGAAAGGATTTCTGTTCAGATATGTTTCTATTTATAAAGATACATAGATCTGTTATTTTTTCACTTACTTTTAGCAACAGTTGCTTCAGTGTTGGGATGTTAATTGAATTTACATATTGTATATATACATTTTTTAAAAAATCTGAATTTTCTAAAAATAAAAACAAATATGTGCCCATATTGAATTCACTGCTACAACTCTAACATAGATTATTCAAAGTGTTCACTGATATGCAAATGTGCACAGATATATTCGTTTAATCGTGTTTGCATTTAGTGTATTTTTTTAAAAAATCTTTTCACCTTTTAAACACTGAGTTTTTACTTGCTATGTCTTGAGTATGTGTCTTTATTGTTCCTAGGTATGAACCTTCTATCAATATTTTATTTTGTTGCATATATTATGATATTGAAGATTAAATACATGACTTAATATTTACAAAACAATGGTCTAAGAACTGAGCCATATTTTCAGAATGTACTGTTTTCTAAAAAATAACAAATTGGTAATGATCTTGTTAAATGCCTTCACAGCATTATGGATAACGAGATACAATCTTTGTCATATTGATCATTGATAGAATTTATAGAGAAGAGTTAAAAACTCTAATATGGATTATAAATGATAGGGTAATTACAATAATTTTTAGAAAAATAGAGAGGATCACAGAGGCACTGAGAACAATTATATGGCAAAAAATTTGTGTGGGTTGAACCTCCCTTGAGTTTCTGGAAGAAACTTTCTTGACAATGATAATGTGATCTTTCTAAAACACTGTTTAATTTGAAACATAGTACTATTTTGAGAACTTTCACATCTCTATGTATAATAAATACTGCTTTTTTGTGTGATATACTAGCCTTTTTTTTCATTATCAGAGTAATGATGATCGTATAAAGTTGCTTTTAATCGTTCCCTTCTTTTCTTCTTTGTCTGATCAATTTATCAGTCTTTTTTTTTTAATTTAAAGAATGAGGTGGAGGTGTGGCATAAATTTTCTTTTGAAGATTTAAGTATTTGCTAATATATAATGGTTAATATTGAAATTTATAAATGAGAGTGGCTTCCCTGAGTCAACTCTTAGGTAGCTTGGAGTAGTGAAGTAGCATGTTCAGGTCCTCTTCTGTCCTCCTCTGTTGGGTGGTAGAGATCAGACACCTTATCTTTGTTGTTCCATAACTCTGGAGACAATGTTATGCCTTTCTGTTTCAGAGTCTGTTAACTTTTACATTAGAATTTTAACTAATAATGTTAGTAGCAGAGACTAACAAAGAGAGTAAGTCTATGACATCTCTTACAGATTCTGAACTCCTCCAGTAAAGAGAGATTGTCCTTTGCTTTATCTTGCTAAGAATGGAAACACTTGGTTTAGAGATAAGGCTAAGGTATGGTCTTACAGCCTTGCAGGAAACCAATCCTGGTTGACCCCTGGGACTACATATGTCCCCAAGTACTCTGAAGAGTGATCTCTGAGCACAGCTGGGTGTAGTCCAAAAACAAAGAAAGAAAAGAATAGGATCAGGGCAGAAATTTGCATTTTGGGCATCCAGTTATTATTTATTTTCTCACTGATAATCCTTTATGAAATCTTACGTTAGTTTCTTTATGAAATTAAACTGAGTAAAACTATAAAACTTAAAGTTTTATTTGTGTCAGAATCTGGAGAAATGAATGTCACAGTCAGAGTCCTCCCATTGTTCCTCTATTTGCTTGAGTGGGCACCAGTAACATCTTCATTGTGAGACTTGTTACTGTTTTTGGCATATCAAATACATTAAGGGGCGCTTGCCAGGCTTTGCTGTGAGGGCAAGATTTTCTTGGTAGCTTGCTGGGCTCTCCAAGGCGGGGTGGGAATCAAACCCCCATGGGCCTTATGCAAGCAAATACCCTACCCGCTGTGCTATCGCTACAGCCCAATGTCACAGTATCTGAAAATATAATATTTAATATGTTCTATCAGCGTAGATAAATTATGCACCTCATTTTCCTTGTTAAATAAAAAATAGACGCAGACCTAATCTTAAATATTTAAGAGTTTAAATCAAAAGCAAAAAATTAAAAAAATGTTGGGCAATATGGAAGAATTAATATTTTCTACATCTGTCAAATAAAACTATAGCACTGTCTTTTCATTTTCAAATTAGGAGTTCTTTGAAAAAACAACTTCTTGCATCTTTAATGTAACAAAATTACTCATCATGGACATTATATATTTTCAAATAGAAAGTCCTGGCCTCCATATTACCTAAGACTTGGGTTGGAATATTTCGTAACAATAGACAACAGCCATGGATGTCAATAAATGGTTCAACTTCCAAACTAACGTAAGTTTTTTATTTGTTTTAACTATTTTACTGTATAGTGAAATTATAAGGTTTCATAGTAATCTTAATTTGTTAAATTATAGCATGAAGAAAATATTGTTTGTTAATGATTTTTATATAAATATTAAAGTGTGAAGTGGTTGTTTTTCCAAAACCAAATTTTTAAAAATAACCTGTTTTCAACTTTCATTACACTAGTTTATTCCTTTTAAACAGAAAATGTTACTGTGTAGTCTGTTGCTCATTAAAAAATGATAACATATTTATGCATTTTTTCCATTATAGGATTAACGAATACCCAGGTGAAGAAAATAACTGTGCTTTATTATTCATATCTAGACTCAATGCACAGTTTTGCAATTCTCCAAATTCATATTGTTGCAAGCATAAACTTCAGAATTAGTACAGCTGTATATGGATTCTATTAAATAAGGTGATAATCTTAAAGAGAATAGCAGAATGTCTACACATTCTTATGACAATCATTTTGCATTTAACAATGAATTTACGAAATAAAATTGAAGTGTACAAAAAACAAAGTTTTCGTAATTACTGTAAAGTTTTCATTTGTGCCTTTTCTATTTTAGTGAAATTATTTCTATATCTTATCGCAAGTATGAGGTTTATTTTAATTTTTTGCTATATTTTCTTGTATTATAATAATTACATAATATTCTCATTTCATACTATATTTTATAAAGAGTGGTGGTAATTTTTATTGTTAGAAAATTTCTGTAAATCTAAAACTATCCTGCATTACTCTTGAATATGACTGATGTGATTGAGTAACCAATCTTAACTCTTTAAATTTTATTTTATTTTTGGTTTTGGGCCAAACCTGGTGGTCCTCAGGACTTTCTCCTGGTCTTGCTCTCAGGGATCATCCTGGGAGTGCTCAGTGGATCACACTAAATTAGGCAAGCGCACTACCTGCTATACTATGGCTCTGGCCCATTTCCATTTTAAATTTTATTTAATTAGCTTCAAATGAAATTTGAATACCTACTCCTCAGATGATTGAACTTGGTTAGTGTCTGTTACAGTTATACCACAGATCTGTAATGTTATAGTAATATTCTACCAGCTATGAATTTATACTAAATATAAAATATTTGTGAACATACAAGATTATTTTACTTGTGTATATAATATATGCATAGATTTGTTATTATAATACTATGTTATGATTTTTTGATTTGTATCTGTACATACAGCACATATTTGTGTGTGATATCCTGATAGATTGGCTTATTTAATAAGCAGGAAAAATTGTTTAATTCTCTATTTCTGATCATTTTATTTATTACTTTTGCAAATCTGTTATTTGATTGTGTTCATAAGTCTCTCATGAACCATTGAAAATAAATTGCACACTGTAATGAGTAGTATAATGTCTTAAATATCATCTGTTTTAATTTACTACTGCTACTATTTTATCTTTAAAATTTTAATACATATATTTTAATATTTCAATTTATATTTTTTTATTCACTCGTTTCTCATGCAATTGCTTTTTTGACATTGCATTCAGTTTTATATAATCAGCTTTGTATCTAAAATAAGTTCTTTTTTTTTATGGAATCACCGTGAGATATAGTTACAACGCTTTCATGTTTGAGTTTTAGTCATACAATGATCAAATACCCATCCCTTCACCAGTGCACATTTTCCACCACCAAAATCCCCAGTATGCCCCCCGCATCCCAACCCTTCCCCTGTATGTGTGGCAGACAATTGCCACAATACTCTCTCTCTTCTTTGATTACATTCAGTTTTCTGACACCAGTCCCGCTATTATTATTTGGAATTTCCCCACCCACTGCCACTCAAAACTCCTGAAACAGCAATGCTAGACAATTTGTTTTGTATTGCTTGTTAGGAATAGTATAACACATCTCACAGGCGTGTACTCCTGAAATAATTATAGGCTAGAGAATTCTCTGCAGCGAGCTGCTCAGTTCCAAGATTCATGTGTGTGTGTGTGTGTGTGTGTGTGTGTGTGTGTGTGTGTGTGTGTGTGTCTGTGTGTCTGTGTGTGTCTGGATTTTGGTTTTGTAGGAGTTTAGTAAGTAGCCACCAGTTTGTGGGCATAATCTCAGGGCCCCATTGGGGTTGGGGGAAGGAGAGAGTTCAACTCTCTCTGTGTCCTGTGAGGCCTGGAATTTCCCATTACTGCTCCTGCAAACCCGGACTCTTTATGCTAGGGGAAAACGGAGCTCAGATAGAAAAGGGAGCACCAAATAAAGGGTGTTGGGAAGATCCTCCCAGGATAGGAGAAGCATGCTGAAAGTAGACTATAGACCAAACATGATTGCCACTCAATGCCTCTTTTGCAAACCACAGCACCCAAAAGGAGAGAGAGAACAAAAGGGAACGTCCTGCCACAGAGGCAGGGTGGGATTGGGGGATGGGGGGTGGGAGGGATATTGGGATCTTTGGTGGTGGGAAATAGGCACTGGTAGAGGGATGGGTATTTGATCATTGTATAATTGAAACCCAAGCACAAAATTTGTAAGTCTACAACTGTACCTCATGCTGTCTCACTAATAAAAATTAAAACATTTTTAAAAAATAAAAAAAAAGAAAATGAGGGTGCAAACTGCTTTCATATTTTTTCTATCTTGGAATTTCCATAACTAAGATTTTTTATGATTCTATATAAGTATTACTACTTTCTGTCCTATCTCCTTAAAACTGTAATTGCTGGTGCTAAAGAGGCAATAGAGCGGCTATGATGCTTGACTCACGATGCACATGATTTATATGGGTTCAGACCCCAATATCACACATGAGCTTCCTGAGTATGAGGGAAGACTAAGTTCTGGGCATAAAGAAAAAAAATTCTCATTTTTGTAATTATTAATGAATTTGCATTAATCTACATGCTGCTTTCATTAAAATGGTAGTGTTAATATATACATTTTCACTATCTGTATACAAAAATATCTTTTTATAGTTTTTGTTTATGCAGGAGGACTTGAGCATTTCCAATATGCTGACTCTGTGCTCAAGAAGCCGGCACATCTTGGGGGACCATACATACTGCTGAGATTGAAGTGGGACCTGATACAAGCCAGTCAGGCATCTTAACCATAGATTTTAATGATAGCTTTAAGGCTGTTGATTAAATACTATTATATAATTTGCACATAATAAGTGATTGAATTCTTTTCTGAGGAGGGAGATTTGTGTGACACCGAATGGTGTTCAAGAATTATCCCTTGCTCTGTGCTCAGGGATCACCTGTAACTGTGCTTGGGGACCTTTGTGATGTCAGGGATCTAACAGAGTCTGCTGCTTTACAAGCGAGTGCCTTAAATCCTCTCACTTGACTTGAATTCTTATTACTGTTTACTTGTTTATTTGTTAATGTGCTTTCTACTTGATTTGACTAGTACTTCTAATATTCAACTTAACAAAAGTGGTAATAATAGATGTTTTACCTTGTTACCAATTCTAACGTAAAAGCTTACATTTAAGAAAAAATTGGGGCCATAGATATAGCACTGGGATTTCAGATAAGTAATGCACGTGTAGGCCCCGGTTTCAACCACAGAGTTAACCCAGCATTGAAGGGCTCAGCCTGAAGGTCTCTGGGCACTTGATAATCCTTGATCCCATAGAATCTGAGCAATATAACAGCCACAGGCAATCCCGCTGATCTGCCCAATCTACTTCTCTGATCATTCATGGAAGGGGCCTTTGGGATTCATGTCCAAGCTTGGGATGCTGCCACCAAAAGAAAGTAACAAAAGAAAGCATTTTTATTGTGACAATGTTGATTTATATTACATATTTGACTTATAAATAACACTATATCTGACATTATGTACAACATTATAATAGACTGTTTTCCAAGCATTTATACACATTTGGAATACAGTACTGTCATAACACTCCCATCTCCACCAGGCCATATAGCTCAGTACAATTCATTAGATCATTCTCACCAAATTCCTTCCATGTGATGATCTAAATTATCATTATTCTTCTTTAGAAAGCCTTAGCTGTTCATATATGCTTTTATTATAAATATATATAGTTCTATTATTTTTCACTTTTAGCAACAGTTGCTTCAGTGTTGAGATATTAATTCAATTTACATATTGCATATATATTTGGAAAATTATAATTTTCCAAAAAATAAACATACACCCATATAAAATTCATTGTTACAACTATAATATCGGTTATTCAAAGTGTTTACTGATATGAAAACATGCACAGACATATTCATTTTATCGTATTTTTATTAATGTGTTTCTCAAGAAAAATCTTTTCACTTTTAAACACTGAATATGACTTTAGCTATGTATGTATTTTTATTATTCCTAGATACATCCTAGATACATCATTGGAAGTGTGTTTAAATGAATATGAATAATACCAGCATTATTCTTAGGTTCTTTCAATATGCATTTAATCAATTGATGGAAATCTCTTCAAAGATATTTCTTGAGCCAAGGGTTTTGTTGACCTACTTAACCCATACATCTTTGTCTGAGAATCTTTCAGAACAGAAAGCGATTAGTTTTCCATTTATTTTCTGGCAGCTAGGGGTATAGCTCAGAGGACTAGAGCATTTACTTTGCACACAGGAATTCTAGGTTTGGTCCTTGGCACCGCTGGAGATTGCCCAAAAACAGATGCTTTCCTGTGGGACAGGGGTGTGAGCATGAGGACCACACACTGTCACCACCACTTCCCACACCGCTGCCTAGTGCCCCTTTTGCCCAGGCAACAGGTACAGTCTGAACCCTGTTTCTGAAACTGATTTTTCTGTGTTCTCAGCTGCCAGTCCTTCTTACTTGCTCAATCTCCTTTGTTTTATGCTTTATCACATAACCACATCAAATGTAACGTTGCTCTGATATTTAATATCTGTAAAATTCCCAACTTTTTCTTAGTACATCTTTCAGTATCCAGTCATGTCCTCATAAAGTAGGTCAGAGGATAAGAGTTTAACATTGCTGTAGATAAAATAGCTAAAGAATTCAGGGCTGACGAGATGGCACAGCCTGGTTGGCTCTTCCCTGGCATGTCACTGACCCACATTTGATCCCCAGTACCCAATATGATCCCCTAAGAGTGATCTATCATTGCAGAGCTAGGAGCGAGCTCTAAGTCAAAAATAAGGAAAAAACTAAGAAGCTAGAGGTGACCTCAAATTTTTTCTAATGTTTGGCATTCTCTTACCTTTCATTGCCATGCATATAAGTTGTCTGTTCTATGGAGCGATGGCACAGTGGATAGGGCGTTTGCCTTGCACACAGCCGACGTGGAATTAATTCCTTCATCCCTCTCCGAGATCTCGGCAAGCTACTAAAAATATCCCATTGCATGACAGAGCCTGGCAAACTCCCCATGGCGTATTCTATATGGCAAAACCAGTAACAACAAGTC